ATATTTATTTCTATCTACTTATTTGTTCTCAGTCATCCAGGCCATGCCAACATATAACAAGCCTTAAAAATAAAGCAACTTAAGTTACAATTTAAACAGCCCATAACTTTAATTTCAATAAATCAGTGTTTATGGGGAATTTTAATCTCATTAAAACTTTTTTATTTAGAACCTTAAATTTTTGTAAAGGTGTAGCAGAGATTAGATCAGTCAGACTGAACAAAGCAACATTTGAGTTTTAGTTTTAATTCTCAACATGTTGCTTAGAAAAACACGTTTGATGTGCATTACTAGTCATTTTTGGTCCTGCAGCTTGAATGTGGTTTAAAAACTTTTTAAACCAAATTTTACGTTACTTTTCACTGAAACTTTGTCGACCCCCAGAATTGGTCTTAAGAAACGTTCCAGTTTATGTCACAAATAAACACGCAGATCATGTTCACCTGAGTATTTCAGTGCTTCCTGTTCTCCAACACGCCTTAATTCTAGATAAGTGAGGCTGTGTTCTGCAGACGGTTCGGACCGGTTTGTCGGTACCGGGTGTATCTGAGTGAGCTGCCTCTCAGGCATGCAGGCGGCCTGCCAGGACGAAACGTGACGGAGAATCGTAAATCAGGTCAGCATCGCTGCTCTGCGGTTTTCACTCGTTTCTCTGGAAGAATCGGATCTTTGTTTGGTTCAGGGAACTTTAGAAACTGGATTCATTTTGTCTTCAAACCTCAACAACTTTACAAATGATCAATAAAACGGTTAGAGCCACTAAAAAAACGATTCTGCATTTTTTCCTCATGTTTATCATTTTAATAGAATAGGATTGCATAGAATATCCTTCATTCTGAGTTTAATTTCAGAATATTGACTTTTTTATCAATGATTTTTTTTATTTGAAATTCTGAATTTTTGACTTTTTAATCCGAATTTTGACTTTAATCTTCTGACATCAAATGTGAGAATTATGAAAAAATCTGACTTTTGACATAAAAATCTGAATCTTTAACTTAAACTCAGAATCCTGAGAAACAAAATGTTTCAGTTCCACAGATTGAAGATGTTTGTGCGCCTAAAATGTCCATATTGAGTCTGATAAAAACTTTTCTTCAGCTGATTGATGTCTGAAGTACAAAATGAAAGAAATGTTTGTTCTCATAAACTGTTTTCCTCATCATTAGAACGAATTCCCGTCAGGCAGAAAGCATCTGAAACATGAAGGGCAGGGAGCCCAGAGCAAACCACATCAATCTGTTCACACCAGGTAACAGGCTGACGCCTCGCAGCTGCTCCACACAACCAACATAAATGTGAACCAAAGCTCTTCCTCTGCCTCATCGATAATCTGAAAGCCAGAAGGATTTTATTAAACTGATTTTTGTTTTTGTCTTCAGGATTTGGTGAAAATCGTTTCATTCTCAGTTCACCTCAGGTTGCTTCACAATCAGCTTTATTAACCAAACCATGTGAACAGACAGACAGACAGACAGACAGACGTCGGATATAAACATTAAACTTCATAGGAGATAAAAGGTAAACATTGTTTCTGGTAGATTATACTAGTGCAAATGTTCCAGTAGAGGATTTGACTCCTCCAGTGGTCATTGTGTTGATCACTGAGGCAGAAAATGTCTCTGTGGCGCCGATCCAAACACTCTGTGTCCAGCATGTGTGTGGTCTGCAGAGACGTTCTCCAGAGTGAAAGAGTCGATGCAATAGATATTCAGACATTAACTGTCCAACAGTCACAACAGGGACTGAAAACATTCAACAGGCAATGAATCACTTTTCGAACTGAACACCCAACTCTGATTTTCCCTGAGTAAAACTTGTAGATTAAGGCAAATGTTTCATTATTTAAAGCTAAAATGTGAATAATAAGTATGAAACATTGTAAATAGTAACAGAGAAACAACCTGAGAGACTTTAAAACGTGAGTTTCTCTGTAACTGCAGGTTGAAAATCCTGAACAGCAGGTCTTGAATGCCGCTCCTCTGTTGTCAGCTCCTGCTGCAGCTTCATGCAAAACCTTCAAACAGCCGAGATTTCATCAACTTTCATCTGATTTTTAGGATGTTTGATACTTTTTTTTAATGGTCGTCGCTAAAACATCCATACTGGCATTTAGTCACAACAAAAGTTTAAATGTTTTCACTCGTTAGGTGACGTCTGCCTTCATCATGATCCACGTCACAGAGCATCTACTCTCTGAATAAGTACTGAGAGGAAGTTCTGCATCTTTAAGAGGTTCCTTGAGACTGCCGCCTTTAGTCGATTTTGTAGAGGACTGGTAGCGAGATGTGTTGGTTGAGAAGAAGGTTTTCCTGAAGTTCTGCCTGAAGTTTTTGCCTATGAAGCCGTACATCACCGGGTTCAGGCAGCACTGCAGGTAGGCGATGAACTCTGTGACGGACAGGGCGGTGTGCAAGCGGTCAGCCTCTTCACACTCCACCGGCTGGAACATGGTGGAGGTGTCGTACAGCAGGACCAGGTTGTGGGGCAGGTGGCAGGCCACAAACACCAGCATTATCCCCATCATCGTCTTCACTGCCTCCACTCGAAGGTCTCTGGGTTTTGTGTCGTTTTGGTCGAAAGGCTGACCAGTTTTCTTTGCGGATTTTCTGTTAGTTGGGATGAACTTTTTGGTCAGTAGTTTGATGATGATGGAGGTGTAACAGACGATGATGACGAGCAGCGGCAGGAAGAAGCCGACAGCCATTTGGACGCTCGGAACCGCCACTTTCACGATCTGGGACAAGTCGTGGTCTTCAAACTGAAACTCACAGACGAACTGCGGCGACGCTGAGGAGTTGCTGTGATTTTCACCCTCCAGCATGTGGATGGTTTCACTTGTTGGCACATACAGCTGGTAGAAGTAGAAGGTGGGGACAGAGAGCAGCAGGGCAAACACCCAGATGGACACACAGACGATGAAGGTGGGTTTCATCTCTATGAAGCTTGTCAGACTGTACAGAGGACTGCAGAGGCTGACGAAGTGCAAAACGCTCATCCCAGCGATCAGCAGCATGCCGCTGTACAGGTTGATGCTGTAGGATCCCTGCAGCAGCTTGCAGGCCGCCTGGCCCATCGGCCAAGAGTACAGCTCGTTGTAGATCAGGAAGGCCAGCGCCACGGTGAACAGCAGGTTGGTGATGGCCAGGTTGAGCTGGAAGACTTCATGTATCTTCAGCTTGTTTTTGGTCTTACATGTAAGAGTGATGATTATTACAACGTTCCCCACGAGGCCCAGGATGCAGATGATGGAGTAGATGTAGGAGCTGAGCAGCCAGTTCATGCTGTTGCTGCTGCTGAACCTGCAGGGCTCATGCAGTTCTTCCTGGTCAGAGGCGTTGAAACCTGCCTGGATGACGGCTGAGTCCTCCATGCTTCACTGGATCAGAGAAAAGACAAATCAGGAAACAATCGAGATTCCACTCACAAGTTTCCGCCTCTGATCTTTATTCTCCATCATGGCCAACCTGTAACTGTGGGGAAGGTTTTAAAATAAAACAGCCAAAATTACACAGAACAATAAAGATACTTTTCTTTTCCAACAGCATGGTGCCTGAAATCTCTGAGAAATATTAGAAATGAACATCCAACAGCTGAACATCTGATCAAACAGGAATGAAAATGATTTCAATCACCTGGACAAAAACCTAAAACTGACAAAAAGTTTATCAGTGAATTATTGTAAACAGTTCAACCAGGAGATCAGATCAGATTTACAGCAGGTTGCTGGTCGTTCACTTTATTTGAGGAAAGTTACAAAAAATCTAAAACTGTAGATGCTAAGTTATAATTTTGACAGACAGGAAGCAAAAAGAGTTTGGCCTGATGTGTTCAGTGGTTTCTAAATAAATACAGACTGGAAGAACCACAGCCTGGTTCTGTTGGACCTCATCACAGCATGTTGACCATCACAGTTCAGTGTTTAACTGGTTTAACTGGTTTAACTGGTTTAAAGATCAGGGACTTTAAGCTCCTCATCAGAGCAGGTGACATGTGGAGAACCTCAGGGTTCAGTCCTGGGTTCCTCCTGTTCAGTATCTGTTTGCTGCGCTGGTTCAGGTCGTAACCAGGAATCCGATTCATTTTCAGAACTATGCAGATGACACACAGCTCTACGCACTAAACAGATGCAGAACAAACAGATGCACTAAACTCCTGCAGAAACAAACTGAAGCAGTTCTTACAGATCAAGAGTCGACACACAGCTTAAAACTGATCTGAGCTTCAGAAACGCATAAAGATGGTTACAAAGTCGGCCTCCTACCACCTGAAGAACATTTCAGGAGTAAAAGACTAAAATACCAACAAGGTCTGGAGAAACTCATCCAGGTGTTTTTGTTGCTACTACAATATAAAGTTTTTATTTGTTTTTATCATGTGAAGCACTTTGAATCGCCTACAATAGACATGAAAGCAAAAATTAAAAATAGTTTGCAATCAAATTTTATTGTTTGAAAGGCGTTAATTAGCTTTACAGTCCAAACATCAGCAGGACAAACCAGTCAGTCATTTACTCTGATGTCATTAAATGTGACTCAACATAAGAAACTTAGAGTAAAGTTTGATATGTCAGTTAAATATTAAACATGTTTCTAAAACTCTTTTTTGCATAATTAGTCAAGTTCAGAAATCTTCTGATACCCAATAAAACTGTTTAGTGCGTCTGTTACCTTAAGGCTGGATTATTGTAATTCTTTAACACCATAAAGCTGAAGGATTGAATCCGTTTGGATCAGAAATCCTTCAGATGATTTTTCTTTCCACCTGGAGTTTAAAATGTTTGTCCTGTAAATCCAAACAGAACCGGCCAGAACCGCAGCATTTTAGAACTGGACCCAGTGATGTTTTAGAAAACGTCAGGATGAAGGATGGATATTTTTAAAGAGTCTGAACTAAAAGCAGGTTTCTGTTTATCCTCATACAGCCTCGTTCCAGCGGGAGCCCAGGAATCCAGACCATAATATACACAGAGTCTCAGCCGTTGCTCGCTCTGAGTCAGACGACACCTGATGACTGCAGCCAAACTCTCTCTGAGCCATTATTCATTCTTCTGCTTCTTGCAACATAATTACTCTCACTTCTGTGGAAAAACTCCAGGCTTCATGATCTGAGCTCAGACATCATTTTGATCTTTATTTTGATCTAAACACAAAAACTGAACTGATGAAAAGGCCTTTAAATTCTCTGCCACCCAGAATAAAATGGAGAAAGATAAAAAATGATCGTCTCTCATAACTTTGGACCAATTCAGTTCAATTTTAAAAGACAAAAGATTTTCTCCTGTAGCTCATGTTTAATAATGTTGTTTATGAGTTTATTAAATGAAAATAAGATAAACATAAAGTTTAGAAAAAAAGAAAAGTTTTTATATTTTCTGTCCTTTAAGGTTTTGAAGCATCGTCCAGATTTTTTCTAGAACTTTTCCTCCGTAACCCTAAACGTAGAGATTCAAACAGTTTAAAAACAGACAGACAGGAAGATGCTGGGCGAGTAAAACATCTGAAACAATGTCAGAGATTCTGCTTATAATTATAATTAAGACCTTAATATTTATTGGTCTTAAATATAACATAAATCATATTAATCATAGTACTGTGCAACAATAACATGAAGAAAAGCTGCTGGTCCAGTAGAAGCTCCACATTCCTCCAGTTATTCAAACCAAACATCTTTTCTCTTTCTATAAAAGCAACAGACCCTTTGAAATGGTCGAGATTTTATCTAATAAATCAAACATCAAATTAATTTTCTGCCACATTTCTCTCATGCAAAACCAGGATTCTCACCTCCTGAAGCTGATCCAGGTCCTGCTGTGTGTTGAATTAAAGCTCAGACAGGAGAAGCCGGTCGTTCAGTCAGAGCTGCTCTCTGGGTCAACACGATCCAACTGATCATCAACATCCTTGTTGCTTCGCTGCTTGAGAAAACAAAAACACTCAGAGGGACGTTAGGAACAGGTCTGACCTGTCTGACTCTCCTGTCCTTCCACTGCATGTCCACTAGGTGGAGGTAATGCTCCAAACATTCGCTCTGCTCACATTTATCTCCATAATCTGCACTTTGGATCAAAACATATCTATGTATTGGAACGGCCTAGTTAAAGTCCAGACTGGAATCTCAGTCAAGATTCAGATATTTTTCTCTCAAACTTTAGATTCGTTAAAAAGGCGAATGGGAGAAACTTTGAGGATGAAGACGTGATTCATCCTGTCATTCTGTTGGTGCAACATCACCATCTAGTGGCCAACAGTAAAACTACATCTGATTATTATTATTATTATTATTATTATTATTATTATTATTATTATTATTATTATTATTTCCGTTGACTCATCATTTGTATTTTATCAAATTAAATTAACTCCTTTTTTTCATGTAACTCAGTAACTGAGTTGATCAGGACTTTGACTGGACCCATGGAAGTGAAGGTTGTCTGTGGTAGGAAATCATCTCTGTGGGGAATTTCTCCACCAGTAAGAAGTGAAAGAAGAAATGGTCAAAAAGCAGAACAAAAATGCTGGTAAGCCAGACTCCATGTAAACTGTTATAACGGTGAAAATGAACCTTCAGAGACACATAAAGACGGTTACAAAGTCGGCCTTCTGTCACCTGAAGAACATTTCAGAATTAAAGTCTCAACAAGAGCTTGAGAAATTCCTCCATGTTTATTTTCCCACTGCTATGTAATGTAATATTTCTTTGTTTGTTGTTTTAACATTTTTATCATGTTCAGTTATTTGAACTTCCTTGTTGTTGAAATGTAATAAAAATATATTTCTTTACCATCCCATTTTCATGAGAAGTGAAATTTGCAGTCAGTTTTATTGATCATTTAATCCTGATTATTTCTGATCAGTTGATCACAACAGAAATCTTGAAGACATGAAACATCTGGAGGATTCAGCCGTTCTCTGACGAAAGGCAGGAAAAACGATGCAAAGAAACGAGAAAAGGTTTAAACTTTGAAATGTCATTTAGAAAAGAAACGTGCCAAAACAATAACACCAAAATTAGAAATATTTTGTGACGATGAAACCACTGTAATTCTTCACAAACTTAAAGCCCAAAGATGAAGCCAGATGTTTTTCTGGAGCCTCTGACCTGTTTGTTTTCTGCGTTTTGAGGTGATTCTTCTGAATTGATGCTTTAAAAGTGTTTTCCTGTTTTCACTGGAAATCCAAACAGGTTCTTAGAACTGGATCAGCACAAATACCAGTTATGTTTTAGAAAACTTCAGGATGAAGGACAGACGTTTGAAAGAGTTTGGACAAAAAGTTTGGACAACCAGTCGAATATCTGATGTGAAGCCAAACATTATGAAGACGCTCTCTGTGTGCAGCGTGTTTATAACCATCTCTAACACACGGCCTGCCTTGTTCACATCAGGGATGCAGTGCATTCCCCAAACATGCAAATAGTCCAAAGATAAGATGAGACTGAGGGTAACAGAGTCAGGGAAAGTTAAATGAAGTAAAGTGAAAACAACTGGGGAGTTTTAGCTCCACGGGTTCGACCCGTCCCTGATGTCAGTCAGAGGTTTTGCTGTTTCTTAGATTCTCCGTCAGCGATTTTCAGCCAGATCACAGAGAGCAGCTCTGACCTGGAAACAACCGGCTGCTTCTGTCTGAGCTTTAATTCAGCAAACTGAGCTGGAAACTGAATCAGCTGCAGGAGGTGAGAATCCTGATTCCACTGCTTGACAGAAACGTTGCAGAACTTTTTAGATTTTAGTCTGAAATTTGGTAAAATCTCAACTGTTTAAGGATTTTGCTCCTTTTACTCCTTTGGAAGCTGAAAAGTTGTTTGGTTTTCATGACTGTGGATGAATGCAGAGATCCTCTGTGGAACCGGCAGCTTCGGTTCATGTTGTTGTTGCAGTGATAAATATCTAGATCATTTAAGTTCATTTCTAAAACTAATAAATGGTCAACAAAGCAGAATTTCTGATATTTTTTCAAATGTTTTATTCACTAATCTTGTTCTGGCGTCAATCCAGGACAGAAAATAACTTCATAACTTTCTGTTCAATACATGTTTAGTTTTAATAAGTAAAGTTCTGGATCAGCTGAGTGAAAGTAGCAGAGACGTAAAGATTCATAAAATGATTTTCTGTGGAAATACAGACGATCTTCATGTGTCTAAAATATGCTGATGGTTCAGAAAGTTTCTGTAAACTGGATTCATATGCAGTCAGACAAACATGTTTACACAGACCTCCTTCAGGTGTTTCCTGTTGGTATAACCTGTGTAAAGCACCACAGGATGTATTACTGTCATTTGCATGGAAAGTTCTCTGCAGATAAATGTTTCATATTTGCATATATTATGATCTGCATTCCTCCTTCCTGATGTGAACAAGGCAGGTTGTCTGGGAGATGCTTATGAAAAGACAAATAACAGAATCTGGACCATCTCTTTAGGACGTTGGAGATAGAAGGTATAAAAATATTGCAATAAATACTTTATCAGTTTTTTCCTAAACTACATAAAAAGTTTTATAAAGATGTGAATTTATTTAAAGGTAATTTTTAACTGACTAACTTTAGTTTCATTTTTGCATTCCTCCTTCCTCATAAAACAAACGAACCATCTAATCAATAATAATGTTATTGAAAAACCCATTTATTCCAGGAACTTTATCAGTGAGTGAAACATACATATAGATTAGCTGAAAATATTCTCCTATCACAGTTTCACTATCATTGTTTTATAAAATTTCCCTGACAAACACTTTCTGCATAAATTCATCACCAAAGTTTTTCTAATTGCATAACTTTAAAAAATAAAACAAATCCCTCAATGTTTTCCTCAACAATATTTAAACTTGTCTTTAATATCAACGTTACCGCCCCCTACTGGTTTATCATGAGCAATGAAACATTTTTCTGAATTGCTGCTTTTGTAACATATTTTAATAAAGTTTCTCTTTAACTTTTATTGCAGAAAAACAAGATGAACCTCTCCAATAACTCCAGTCCAGCCAAAGAAAACAATGAAAACTACAGTGATGATGGTGGATATGAACCTTGTTCTAACGGTGTGAACGTTGTGGTTGGTCCTTACATTCACTCCATCATCTGCATCCTGGGCTTGGTGGGGAACAGCCTGGTCATCCTCACCTATGCCCTCTACAAGAGAACCAAATCCATGACTGACGTCTACCTGCTCAATGTGGCCATCGCTGACCTGCTGTTCGTGCTGGCTCTACCTTTCATCGTCTACAACGAG